GCCTATTAATTGCTAGCTGAGATGAAGGCTAAATTTGCAGGAACGAACAAAAGGGCCAGTTATAGTTTCAAAAATAAGATTTTTAAGCAATTCCCTCCCTTCAGTCTTCAGGGGGAAAAGATTTATTTATTTATCCAAGATTGGGAGTGGGGGAAAACCTTAGAAAATGATGACATCATTGCAGGGGAATGTTTCCTTTGATATCTCCAGGTCATACCTGCTCGACCAAAAAACCGAACCCTCCCAGTGGAAGGGTCTGTAAAACAAAACTTGAGTGTTGATTTAAGACTTTTTTGTTATGAAATCTTAGATCAAGCAGGCTGGCCATTGGAGGCCATTTAAGCATCCCATTCGCCGGGACTTAATAAAAACAGACTGATGGAGGCTGAAGAGGGACCTCCGGACTGGTGTCTTTCATTACACAACAATTAGCCTTCGATCAGCAGGCCTCTTAATAGGCAGATGGAATTTATCGCGTGTACAATCGCCACCTTATGAAATATAAATTGAATGCACGTTGTATGGCCTCCATCGAGGCCCAAGGAAAGGGGAAGTTGAGAATGAAAACTACGATGTAGGTGAGGGATGTCTCCAGGGGTAGGCTTCAAAAATTTTAGCAAAGGGTTCTCTGCCCGGTTGCTGTGTGGGCGTGGCCATGGTGAGCGTGGCCTAGTCAGCCTCCTGCACCACGGCGGAGGACGGGGGCATTTTTGCCCTCCCCAGGCTCTGGAGGCTTTTCTTGAGGCTCCAGGAGGGTGAAAATGGCCTCCCAAGGCTCCGGAGGGCCCCCCGAGGCCCGAAACGGGCCCATTTCCAGACTTCCAGAATTTTCAGGAGGCCCATTTTTCGCCCTCTCGGAGCCTCTGTACTTACTTGGCATCCAAGACTCCTGGGAGGGGCGGGGTGGGGTGGGGTGGGCGGGGCCAGCCAGTCATTGCAACTACCGGTTTGGCGAACCAGATGTAAAATTAGCTCTGGAGGCCCGTTGGAGGCCTTTTTCGAACTTCCGGTAGGCCCGTTTTTCACCCTCCCCGAGCCTCTGCGTGCGCCCTGCATCCAAAATGGGTCGTGTGGGGACTCCTGGGAGGGGTGGGGTGGCGTGGGAGGGGCCAGCCAGGAGTGGGATTTGGGGGTTCTCCAAACTGCACAGAATCTTAGGTAGAGGTTCTCCCGAACCCCTCTGAACCCCCAGCAGCCCACGCGTGGAAGTCTCCACAGCCTTATTTATTTGTGAAATGTAGATGCCGCCCGTCTCACGATCGGACAACTTTTCTGGAGGAGGTACTGGCTGAGCTTGAATTTTAGTTCTTGGCTACTTTAGAAACCTAGTGTTTGAATTGGTCAAAATATTACGGAATCCGTGGTGAGCATCAACCTGTCAAACACTGGCTGAATCTGGGGAAGGAACTAAGCAGGGAATTAGTCTGGAATCCTTACGTAAGAACAAGAGGGCAAGATCTGGCCCCTCTTGAATGCTATTTGGACTCTTCCTGTGTGAATCTAATTGTTCACCCCAGTGGTGAAATCCAGTGGTGGGCGTGGTGTGGCTTGATGGGCATGGCTTGATGGGCATGGTAGGGGAAGGATACTGCAAAATCTCCATTCCCACCCCACTCCAGGGGAAGGACACTGCAAAATTTCCATTCCATCCCCACTCCTGGGGGAAGGATATTGCAAAATCTCCATTCCCACCCCACTCTGGGGCCAGCCAGAGGTGGTATTTGCCGGTTCTCCGAACTACTCAAAATTTCCACTACCGGTTCTCCAGAACCTGTCAGAACCTGCTGGATTTCACCCCTGGTTCACACCTAATATTAATCTTCCCAGACTGGTTGTCTACATTTAGATTAGATTAGACAAGGTCCAACAGCATTCAAGGGAATCAGACCTTGCCCTCTTGTGCCCAGGTAAGGATTCCAGACTAATTCCCTGCTTGACTCCTCCCCCCAGGGTCAGCCAATCTTTCTCCGACACAACATAATTATTTTCAATCTTTGTCTTGTGGCCAAACAGCTAGGATGCACAACATCTATTCCTCTTTTGTTTCTGGGACAATTCTTCAGCCTCCTTCCCTTTTCTGATCTTAAATTTGTTCACTCTTCCTTTCTCAGCAGGGTGCTCCTATGAATTTTCTCCTATGGTACTCTGTCGGTTAGGCCCTGCTCCCTAATCAGATGTACCACCAAAGAAGGGGAACAGTCATCCAACAACATTCGGAGCTCATTCCTCCCATAGCATTGACGGCTTTCTGAGTCTGCCTTCCAAAATTCACCCGATAATTCACACGTCGTCCCACCCATTCACCTTTCAAAGAAGTGTCGGTCGATTGGTGGAAACCACTCCAGAGTAACGGAGGCTTCTGTTCGGTCCACAATCTGAGGCGTGATGGCAATGGGGGCTGGCTTCTTGATATGTTGCCAGCTTTGATACACTAGATCTAAGTAGCAGTGCATACGGGCAACCTGGTTTGGGGTGAAGGAATTGGTGCAGTCATCATCTAGAGTAGCACACCCCATCGAAAAACAGGAGAGAGAGAGAGTTAAAACTTAGTAAAACAGGATTTCCCAGTTTTCTATCGGAATAACTACTAGCAGCTTTCTGAACTCAGCCAAAGTTGAAGTGCTGTATCTTAGTTGGTCTATAAAGCTCGCTTCGAGTTGAGCTGTGCTGACACAAATGTCCACATTATAATCTACCTGTTAAGCTCGCCCGGGGCTCGCCATAACTGGGGGGGTAGGAAATGCAGCGGGAGCAATGAGCAAGGCAGCAGCTCGCCGGGGATGGCCCCACATCTGATGGCACCAAACAGCCACTGCGTTCCCCACCAAACCTGCGCCATCCAGCTGATCGGTCCCGACAGTCTTCTGCAGGGGCTACGTGTCACCCGCTGGGTCATTCCGGATGGCGAGGAAGACCGTTGCTGCCAGATGGGTGTCGGCCTTGGTGGTTACCACGGCGGCAGGACTTGTGCAGCCCCAACGCCGACAGGCGCCGGATGGTGGTTACCGGTGGGCGTGGGCAGTGGATGGACAGGGGGTGGGGCCCAAAGACTCGAAAAGGCGCTGGGAGGCGGACACTCCCACCGCTGACTTTACAAGGAACCTGTTACCTATTCGTCACGTACTGAGGCTCTGGCGTGTTTGTCGGGATTAAAGCTGAGTTCTGCCACATTTGAGTGCATGTCCTGGCTCCCTTTGTTCCTACCAGGTCCGGCCTAAACCGGCTGAGACTACCAACACTATCTGTTTCCAAAGTATTACCGTATTTTTCAGAGTATAAGAAGCACTTTTTTCCTCCGAAAAAGAGGGTGAATTTCTGGGTGCATCTTATACTCCGAATGTAGCTTTGGGTATGGACCTCACCGCATTCACTAGCTGAATGCAGCGTTGAGCAACCTGTGAGTCCAGATATTGTGCAACGTTGTCTAAAGCCAACCTTGGCAACTTTAAGACTGGCACATTTCAACTCCCAGAATTCCCCCAGCCAGCAAGGGGGAATTCTGGGAGTTGAAGTTGACAGGCCTTCAAGTTGCCAAAGCTGGGTACCGCCAAAAGTCTAAAGCCTACAATCAGCCAAGTATTTTAGCAAAAAATGTAGTTCTTACCTGCGTAGCTCATAAAGTTGTTGAACGGTGTATTCTGGAAGTTATGGAACCCACACATGTTACTATTAGCAGGGGGATCAGCGCAGACTTTGTGAGTCGGGGTAGGATTGGTATCGTGGCAGAGGTCTCCCGTCTCGAAGGATGGTTCCGTTTCCATGCATGGGTCGCTGCAGGAGAAGACCTCAGACACCCCTTTAAAGACATGGTAGAGTCCGAGGCTGTGTCCGACTTCATGGATCATGGTGTGGGTGTGACCCGCAATGCCGTAGAAGGAAGGGTTCAGGACGATACCTCCTACATGGACAAGAAGGAGGAAGGGACATTGTTCAATGCTTCAGGAACATTGTGGAAGAAAAAAACCCCACACAGATACAAGATTTGTGTGGTGTCATGGCCACAGGCCTACCAACATCATATGCAACGAACTTCCTTTGAAATGGGGACAAAATGAATTGTGTGGACTCCAATTCTTGATGCGTGCTCCCTGGAACCCTAAGCAATGCCACCGCTCAGATCCAGAAAAGAAGACCAACAAAACTTCTTGATTGCTTCCTTGTTGTTTGTAGGCTTGGAAGCAAGGAAGGACATACATCAGAGGAGGAAGAGGAAGAGAAGCAGGATGAAGGACTATAACTAACTTAAGGCATTATACTTCTTCTTCCTCCTCCTGTTTTCCCCACAATAACAACCCAATGAGGTGAATAGAGCTGAGAGAGAATGACTGGCTCAAGGTCACCCAACCAGCTTTCATGGCTAAAGCAAGACTAGAACTCATCGACTCCTGGTGATTGGCCCAAAGTCACCCAGCCAACTTTCACGGCTAAAACGGGACTAGAACTCACCGACTCCTGGTGATTGGCCCAAAGTCAACCAGTTACCATTCATGCCTAAAGTGGGATTAGAACTCACAGTCTCCTGGTGATTGGCCGAATATCACCCAGCCAGCTTTTATGGCTAAGGCAGGACTAGAACTCACCAACTCCTGGTGATTGGCCCAAAGTCAACCAGTTACCATTCATGTCTAAGGTGGGATTAGAACTCACTATCTCCTGGTGATTGGCTGAAAGTCACCCAGCCAGCTTTCACAGCTAAGGGGCAAAACTAGAACTCACCGACTCCTGCTGATTGGCCAAAAGTCACCCAGCTGGCATTCATGGCTCAGGCGGGATTAGAATTTATCATCTACTGATTTCTAGGCTGGCGCCTTCACCCCTATTCCCAATTCCTGGATATCATCTCTTGGGAATATAATACTCCTAAGCAGTGGTGGAATTCAATTCTTTTTTACTACCAGTTCTGTGGGCGTGGCTTGGTGGGCATGGATTGGTGGGCATGGCAGGGAAGGATACTGCAAAATCTCCATTCCCTCCCTATTCCTGGGGAAAGATACTGTAAAATCTCCATTCCCACCTCACTCCAGGGGAAGGAACTGCAAAATCTCCATTCCCACCCCACTCCAGGGGAAGGATACTGCAAAATCCGCATTCCCTCCCCATTCCTGGGGGAAGGATATTGCAAAATCCCCATTCCCACCGCACGCTGGGTTCAGCCAGAGGTGGTATTTGCCGGTTCTCCGAACTACTCAAAATTTCTGCTACCGGTTCTCCAGAACCTGTCAGAACCTGCTGAATAGCACCCCTGCTCCCAACAGATTGTATGAGAATCCAAACAGAATCTACGAGTGTGTACGAGTTGTTTTTGCAAACAGATTCATCCCAAAGCACCATTCCTCTTATCTTTCCCAGTTTTATTTTCTTCTTCTCTTGTTTGAGGCTTTGGAGTTTGGCTTTCTTTTTGTTTATGTTTCTCTTTCTTTCTGATGGTTGGAGATATTGGGGAAGGGGAAAAAAAAATTCTCCGTGAACGGAAAAGATAAACATCGCAGTAGAGGCTGGCACAACTTTATCAGGGCCAAGTTAGCTGAGCAGGTTGTTAGATTCTTCTGCCTGTTTGAGGGAGGTGGGGGTGGTTTTTGGGGGAAAGGGGAGAGAAGAGGAATATTTTTCACCGCTGTCAAAGGTCTAAATCAATTATCCCTTCTTTTTTTCATTTAAAAACGAAAGAGGGAGATTGGGGTTTTTTTGGCTGTGTGTGCCCCGATGATAATGTATTCCAAAGTTAAGATCTGGACAACTGAACATATTTCATTTTATTTTCTTATTAAACAGATATTGGATTTAGAGAACGGGGTGGGGGAAACGAATATGGAGAGGCGGGGCAGGATTTTTCTGAGCGAGAAGGGGGCAGAGAAGGTGTCTAAACAGGAAATTAATTTTCTTTATTCTTGGGTTCCCCCCCACTCCTTCCTTCCTTCCTTCCTTGGGAGCTGACTTCAAACTGATGGTACAATAATTAGAATTGGTGCTCTTGTGGGTAAATTCACCTAAGAGATTCTCCCTTTGAACAACAATTAATGGGTGGAAAGGAATGGAGTGGAATGGAATGGAATGGAATGGAGAGGAGGGGAAGGGAAGGGAAGGGAAGGGAGTGGAGTGGAGTGGAGTGGAGTGGAGTGCAGAGCAGAGCAGAGCAGAGCAGAGCAGAGCAGAGCAGAGGAATGGAATGGAATGGAATGGAAGAGAAGAGAAGAGAAGAGAAGAGAAGAGAAGAGAAGAGAAGAGAAGAGAAGAGAAGATAGAGTAGAGTATGTAGAGTAGAGTAGAGTAGAGTAGAGTAGCGTAGCGTAGCGTAGCATAGCGTAGAGTAGAGTAGAGTAGAGTAGAGTAGAGTAGAGTAGAGTAGAGTAGAGTAGAGTCGAATCTCTAGATATTTTCTAAAACTAGCTAATAACACCACTTTTTTGGGGGGAGTAGTATCATAAAATTATATATCAATGGAAAGATAATTTAATCAAGAATGTAATGCAATAACTTTTATGAAGGGTTTGCTATTAGAATAGCAGTCTAAAGAAGAGAAGTGAAACACGTAGAAAAAAAGAGACTATACAAAAATTATCCCCATAGAAAAAAACAAGATATACAAAAATTATCCCCATGTCAGTTAATCCTTAGTTGGGTAACCTTTAGCACGAATGACGGCCTTACAACGTCTTCCCATGGAGTGAACCAAGCCTTTGAGTTCTGCAGCTGTTATAATGTGAAACCAAGATGGAATGATGGCTTCTATTAACTGGGTTTTATTGCTGGGTCGCTTCTGACTAACAAGTTTCTTTAGTCGGCTCCATAGATTTGCAATTGGGTTAAGATCTGGGCTATTCCCAGGCCATTCCAGCAGTGGAACAGGATTATCTTGAAACTCCAAAAGGAAAAAAAAGTGGTGTTATTAGCCATCAAACCTCACAAATGCACTTTTCCCAAACGATTTCCACAATTTTGGCCACTACTGTAGATTTACAAATGACAGACTCAATAATCCCTCTGTATTGGCAACTCTTTGGTCAGTCCAAGCTTTAATTAAACCTTAAAAGAGAGGATAGGCAGCTGACAATGTCACCAAGACATCTGATAAATCCAGCAGGAGGTGCTAGAAGAGAGCATAATGTTAATTGGTCCAAATATCCAGTTATTGGAATTGGAACGTTCGGTTCCTCTTTGGCTGTTACACAGGTACCCGAATAACAGAGTTGGAAGGGACCTTGGAGGTCTTCTAGTCCAACCCCCTGCTTAAGCAGGAGACCCTATACCAGTGATGGCTAACCTTTTTACCATCGTGTGCCAAAAGCGGGGGGAGTGTGGGGAGGGGGGGTCGCACCCATGCATGCCCACACCCATAATTCAGTGCACCCCGCTCCCCCCGCGCAGGCACGTGTGACACCCCTGCGCTCCCCCCCGCTTTTGGCACGCGATGGCACGGTGGGCCCAGTAGGCCTGTTTTTCGCCCTCCCCAGGCTCCAGAGGCTTATTTGGAGCCTGGCAAAGGCGAAAACAGCCTTCCCCATCACCCCGGAGGCCCTCCGGAAGCCAGAAATGGCCCATTTGCCGACTTCCGGTTGGACTGGAAGGCCCATTCTTCGCTCTCCCCAGCCTCCAGAGTCTTTCTAGGAGCCTGGGGAGGGCGAAAATGCCTTGCCCCCCCCCGGAGGCCCTCCAGAGGCCAGAAATAGCCTTCCAGTGGGCCCGGAAGGCCCGAAAATCAGCTCAGCTAGGGCAACACTCGCGTGCCCACCGATATGGCTCTGCGTGCCACCTGTGGCACGCGTGCCATAGGTTCGCCATCACGGCCCTATACCATTCTGGACAAATGGCCGTCCAGTCTCTACTTGAAAATCTCCAGTGGTGGAGCACCTACAGTTACTGGAGGGAAGCCATTCTACTGGTTAATTGTTCTCACGGTCAGGAAATTTCCCCTTAACTCTAGGAGTTCTTAGTTCTCCTCCTGTGGCTAATGCTGAAGTAGAACCTAAATGCAAATGAAGTTGTCTTCTGGATATATTTCTCCCATCCAGTCACCCAGCTCAGCTCTGTTTCTCTCCGTTACAGAATGTCTTCTCGTGAGTTACGGTGCCCAGAGCATTCGTCAGATTCCGAGGGCTCCAGGGCAAAGTCAAATAGTTTATATTTATCAGACTGAGTTGTACATCGCATGAACATTTCATCTTGGTGTTTAAACCCGTCCTGGGAAGTCTGCGGAGATTCTCAACCATCTTGTCCCAAAGGGTGCTTTTTCAAAAAGGCAACTGGACTTTGCTTTTTCCTTGAAGACGTTTCGCTTCTCATCCAAGAAGCTTCTTCGGTTCTGACGAGTTCCGAAGTTCTCCAGAACTGAAGAAGCTTCTTGGATGAGAAGCGAAACGTCTTCAAGGGAAAAAAACAAAACAAAATTCCAGTTGTCTTTTGAAAAAAAAAACACCTTTGAAGCCATCCTAGGAAGCAACATGCCAAAATTGGCATAAAGGCTCTTTGCAAATTCTCCATTCCATTTGTACGCAGATAAGTTGGGTGGAGCCTGTTCTTTAACTTTTCCAAGAGAAAGAAGTCCAACAATTACTTCCCACCTCTGCTTTGGGTTTTGAGTTCCTTTATGGTGTCTTCTCTTGAGTTTGAAAGGACAGGATATTCATGTAAGTGTCTTCTTTACCTCTTCATTGTCCTTCAATCAATGGTCTCCAATACTTGTCTGGATAAGTCCCTGTAGGTTGGTTTTTTTTTTTTTGGCAAGGTGTTTTCAGAAGTGGTTTGCCATTGCCTCCTTCCTAGGGCTGAGAGAGAAGGACTGGCCCAAGGTCACCCACCCAGTTGGCTTCATGCTGAAAGTGGGACTAGAACTCACCATCTCCTTGTTCCTTCACCAACGACTCCAAACTGGCTCTCTACCTCTTCATTAAGAAGGTAAAAGTTCCCCTTGTACATATGTGCTAGTCGTTCCCGACTCTAGGGGGCGGTGCTCATCTCCGTTTCAAAGCCGAAGAGCCAGCACTGTCCGAAGACGTCTCCGTGGTCACGTGGCTGGCATGACTCAATGCCAAAGGCGCACGGAACATTGTTCCTTTCCCACCAAAGGTGGTCCCTATTTTTCTACTTGCATTTTTTACCTGCTTTCGAACTGCTAGGTCGGTAGAAGCTGGGACAAGTCACGGGAGCTCACCCTGTTACGCAGCACTAGGGACTCGAACCGCTGAACTGCCAACTTTTCGATCGACAAGCTCACTATGTGTTTCAGTGGCTAAGACACTTGAGCTTGTCGATCAGAAACTGCCGGCAGTTCAGCGGTTCGAATCCCTAGTACAGGTCTCCTGCGCGAACAAGGGGTTGGACTAGATGACCTCCAAGGTCCCTTCCAACTCTGTTACCGTTACAGCGCCTTAGCCACTGAGCCACCGCATCTCTTACCTCTTCATTAACTAAATGCAAAAAAAAAAAAGAGAGAGACGCCACTCTACCCAGTTTCCCAATGATGTTTTCCATCCATTTTGCGACCTTTCTCGCCGCGGTCGTTAAGCGAATCGGCGTTAGCAATTACGGGTTGTTGAGTGAATCTATCTGCCCCCATGGATTTTTGCTTTTCGGAGAGTCGCAAAAAAGGGGATCGCATCACACACACACACACACACACACACACACACACACACACAGAGGATCCTGCAACCGTCATAAATACGAATCTGTCGCCAAGCGTTTGAATTTTGATCACGTGACTGCGGGGAGGCTTCATCGGTCGTAAACAGGGGTGGTCTGAATACCACCACTGGCCGTAAGTAAGTGTTTGGTGGCGTTGCAACTTCGAACGGTCACTAAACGAACTGCCCTAAGGCGAGGACTATCTAACCCCTGCACCCACCGCTCTGCCTTACCCAAGTGCACCAAGGCTTCTTTGTCCCAAGGAAAGGTGGCCATGCCAGCCAGCTCTTCTTCGGAAGAATTGGCGAAGAAAATGTTGAGGTGTGTGGAGCCATTCAGGTTGAGCCTGTTCTTCAGTTCCTTGACATCTAAGTAGGCCCTGAAACGAGAAGAAGAAAGACCGGTCAGCGTGCTAACGTTGGGTCGTCCTCATACCTGTGTCAGGTATTATCTAACACACCTTGACTTCGGAGTGGCTGTTGGAAACTCTTGTCTTGCCCCATCCAAGCTATCTTTAGAGGATGAGTCAGAAGTTGAAGTTTTTCAAGACATCCATTTGTCCAGGTGGGTTTAAGGCAGTGGTGAAATCCAATTTTTTTTTTACTACCAGTTCTGTGTGGCTTGGTGGGCATGGCAGGGGAAAGGATACGGCAAAATCCCCATTCCCTCCCCACCCCTAAAGGAAGGATACTGCAAAATCCCCATTCCCTCCCCACTCCTAGAGGAAGGATACTGCAAAATCCCCATTCCCATTCCACTCCAGGAGAGGGATACTGCAAAATAGGAGCCTGGATAGCTCAGCAGACAGAGCTCTGTAATTTAACACCAGCTGTCTGCAATTACTGCAAGATCGAATCTCGCCAGGCTCAAGGTTGACTCAGCCTTCCATCCTTTCTAAGGTAGGTAAATTGAGGACCCAGTTTGTGGGGGCAATAAGCTGACTTTGTATAAATATACAAAAGTATGAAGGCTATTGCTTAACGCATTGTAAGTCGCCCTGAGTCTCCGGAGAAGGGCGGCATATAAATCAAATTTTTTAAAAAAAATCCCCATTCCCTCCCCACTCCTAGGGGAAGGATACTGCAAAATCCCCATTTCCTCCCCACTCCTGGGGGAAGGATACTGCAAAATCCCCATTCCCTCCCCACTCCTGGGGGAAGGATACTGCAAAATCCCCATTCCCGCCTCACTCTGGGGCCAGCCAGAAGTGATATTTGCCGGTTCTCCGAACTACTCAAAATTTCCGCAACCGGTTCTCCAGAATCTGTCAGACCCTGCTGGATTTCACCCCTGGTTTAAGGTCTCCTGCCTTGGCCAAAGGGGTCAGACTAGAAGACCTCCCAAGATCCCTTCCAGCACAGTCCTAGGATTGTATGCTTCTATGCGGACTGCCTATCTTTCCAGAGAACTCTTCCCAGGGTTCAAATCAGCCAGCTGCAAGAAGAACCACCCTTCCAATTCCTCACCCTAATAAATGAGGAACATCTACAGTTTGACGCCATGGCCCTTTTCGTCTCCCATTAAACACTCACTTGGGCAGAACGTCTTACGGGAAATGAGTGTATCAAGAAAAATGCTTTTGTGACATACGATCCCAAAACATTCCTGGAGTTGCTAGTGTACCGGATCCATCTTGCGACAACGATGGAGAGATTTTTTTCCCTAACATCAGCCGCTTACTCACAGGTTAACGACGAGCTGGCCCGAGGAGGAAGCCCAAGTTGCTCTTCTTGTATGACCTTATTGCTAACATAAGGGTGGGGAAAACACCTACATCTGAACGCCCTTCCGGTAACCAAGGTTCTACACAGTTTGACAATAAAGGAATATTAAAATAAAGGAAAAATAAAGGCTGCAGTTGCCATGGTCATTTCTCCCATCTCCTCATTCCAAGAAACTTCCTAAAACAGTGAGGACAATTCATCAGTGGAACAGCTTGCCTCCAGAAGTTGTAGGTGATCACACACAGGAGCTTTTCAAGAAGAAACTGGACAAGCCGCCTATCTGAAATAGCCATAGCGCTTAAGACTTACTGTATTTTTCGGAGCATAAGACGCACCTTTTTCCCCCCAAAAAGAGGGTGAAAATCTGGGTGTGTCTTACACTCTGAATGTAGCCCTGCCCTGTTTCTCAAACGGAGGTTTCAGAGGCTGAAAAAAACATCAGAAACGAAGCTTCAGAAAAAAAGCCCCCAAACAGAGCTTCAGAGGCTTTTTTTCTGAAGCTGTTTTGGAGGCTTTCAGAGGCAGGAAAAAAAGTTTTTTCTGAAATGGAGTTTCAGAAGTTTCAGAAGCAGAAAAAAAAAAAAAAGCAAGGCACAGAGCTCACAACCAAGGAACCTGTTGCTAAAATTCACCTCTGGAAACAGCTGATTGGGGGTATTCCGGGAGACCGATCCACATGCCAATCAGCTTTTTTCTTATTTTCCTCCCCCAAAATTAAGGTGCATCTTACACTCCGGTGCGTCTTATACTCCGAAAAATACGGTATATACCACTTCACAGTGCTTTTACAGCCCTCTCTAAGCAGTTTATAGAGTCAGCCTCTTGCCCCCAACAATCTGGGTCCTCATTTTACCCACCTTGGAAGGATGGAAGGCAGAGTCAACCTTGAACAGGTCAAGGTCAAAGATTTTAATTGGGTTTTTTAAAATGGGATTTTAAATTTGGGGTTTTAAATTGAGCCTATCATTTAATCATTTTAATTATTTTTTTTTAATTTTGTCTGTCTCTGTGCTTTTAATCAGGCTGTACACCGCCCTGAGTCCTTCGGGAGAAGGGCGGTATAGAAATAAAATTAATAAATAATACATAATAAATAAATAAGATCAAACTCCAGACCGCGAGCAGAGTTTGCCTGCAATACTGCAGCTTAACCACTGCACCATCGCGGAGCCTAATGCAACATCTGATCAGCCACAGCAATAGCCATAGCGCTTAGACTTATATACCGCTTCACAGTGCTTTACAGCCCTGTCTAAGCGGGTTAACAGAATCAGCCTATTGCCCCACAACAATCTGGCTCCTCATTTTACTGCCTTCTGCTGAGTCACACTTTTGTTCTGTCTAAGACAGTTTTGGCAACTCCACAAAGTTTCAAGTGAGAATTGTCCAATCTGAACTCAGATGCTCAGCCATTGAGTTACACTCCCTCACCTTATAGTCATAACAAGTTGCCTTGGAAGCAAATCACTAGTTTATACAGCACTGGTCTCCAAAGTTTGAGGGAGTCATCTTCCCTCCATCCAATTTGTAGTTACCAAAGACTGAGATGAGGTTCAAAAGAGGTTGTCACTGCACTACAACTCCTTCATTTAAAGTCCCATATCTTATAGGTTCTTGGGTTTCTGTTGATCTCCATCCCCACCTTGGCACAAAAATGCTACGAAGTCTTCAACCGTTTCTCCCTGCTGACCAGCACGAAACGTCTCATGAACGTCAGCGTAGAATTTTGCAAATTTTGGAAGGGTGGAAACCAAAGAAACCAATTCACTAGCTTTCCATTCAATGCTTGACATTTCTCTACTGGACAGGAGAGAGAGAGAAAGAGAGAGATCTGGAAATCCAGGTGTGACCCATCAGGATATAATTTCAAAACGGATGCCACCTTGCAATACTTTGATTAAACGTGATGTTGGGATCCATCCCTGGTGAGCAAAATGCCAGGTTGGGATTTCATGGAGAATGGATTTTGTCCGACCCTGTAGATCTTATTTGAATGAGATGTAGGAGAAGAAGAGGCAGAGCCTGAAGTATGGACTCAAGAGGGGGAATCAGCCTGGAATCCTTACATTCTCACAAACGATCTGAGTTTCGACTTTTCTTGAATTCTGTAGTGTCAATTTAGTCCTGGACATTGGTTGACTAGATTCTTGGGTATAAAAGAATAATGAGCAATAAATCAGCTTATGTGGAACTTAAATCCTAATTTATCATGCCTGGCATGGGACTCAGTGTGCAATTGTGGGGTGGTAGAGGAAGGGTAACATACTAAAAAGCAGATAACATACTAAAAAGCAGAGACATCACCCTGCCAACAGAAGTGCAAATAGTCAAGGCTATGGTTTTCCCAGTTGCAATGTATATATGGCTTTGAAAGTTGGACCTTAAGAAAGGCTGAGTGCCAAAGAACTGAGGCCTGTGAACCAGTGGTGAAATCCAAATTTTTTTAGTACCGGTTCTGTGGGCATGGCTTGGTGGGCGTGGCGTGGCTTGGTAGGGGAAGGATACTGCAAAATCCCCATTCTCACCCCACTCCAGGGAAGGATACTGCGAAATCCCCATTCCCTCCCCATTCCTGGGAGAAGGATATTGCAAAATCTCCATTCCCACTCCACTCCAGGGGAAGGATACTGCAAAATCCCCATTTCTGGGGGAAGGATATTGCAAAATCTCCATTCCCACCTCACTCTGGGACCAGCCAGAGGTGGTATTTGCCAGTTTTCCGAAATACTCAAAATTTCCACTACCGGTTCTCTGAACTGCTCAAAATTTCCGCCACCGGTTCGCCAGAACCTGTCAGAGCCTGCTGGATTTCACCCCTGCTTTGAACGATGGTGCTGGAGAAGACTCCTGTGAGTCCCTTGGACTGCAAGGTGATCCAACCGGTCACTCCTAGAGGAGATCAACCCTGACTGCTCTTTAGAAGGCCAGATCCTGAAGATGAAGCACAAATACTTGGGCCACCTAATGAGAAGGAAGGACTCACTGGAGAAGAGCCTAATGCTGGGAACGATGGAGGGCAAAAGAAGAAGGGGACGGCAGAGAATGAGGTGGCTGGATGGAGTCATTGAAGCAGTCGGCGTGAGTTTAAATGGACTCCAGAGGATAGTAGAGGACAGGAAGGCCCAGAGGAATGTTGTCCATGGGCTTGTGATAGGTCGCAACTAACAACAGAGGAAGGATTGGGCCTAGGAGGAAAAAAAAAAAGGAAGGAGACCTAGTTAAGTATTCTCCGCAGAGAATAACCAGGTTATGTGGGCTGTTTAACGTGGAACATTTCCAAGCCAATCTGCTCCACTGTTCTGCTATGCTAAAGTTCCTAGAATTCTTTTTTGGAATTCCATCCCCAGGAGGAAATGAGAAGCTCCAAGAACTGGCGAGCCACCAAAGGTTTCCAGTCCTCCCCTCAAGGATTCTTCAAGGGGGAAACAACCCATCGAAACAAAGCAAGACAAAAACGATGTTTCCACGATACCGTGATTGCCCTCACACACATTTTTCTCGCTAGTACACCAGCCGTCCTCACCGCCTTCCCCCCCGCCCCACCTGCTGATGAAGTCATCAAATTGGAAATAGCTTTGGGCTTGGCGTCCCCGGCCCCTCCTTCCGCTGAATCATGAAAGCTACCTCCCTAGGCACAGAACCAAGACTGAGAGGG